GCACTCTGTTCTCCTGGGGAGGTGGAGGGTACAGTGAGCTGAGATTGTGCCACTGCACTCCAGCTTGGGTGACAGAGGGAGACTCTATCTCAAGGGAAAAAAAAAAAAAAAGAAGTCAAGGTCATGGAAGACAAGCAAAGTCTAAGGAACTGGTACAGATTGAAGGAGACTAGAGAGATGTGACAACCAAGTACATAACATGATCTTAAACCGGGGCCTGAATCAGGGAATGAAAACAGCTGTGAAGAATGCAACTGTTAACTTGGGGGAAATTTATATGAACTACATATTAAATAATAGTATCTTATGAATGTGAAATTTCCTGAATTTGACAAATTGTACTGTGGGTTATAGGAGAGAATATCCTTGTTCTTAGCAAATATACAATGAAGTATTCAGGGGGCAAAACATCTTGTGCTTGTGTGTGTGTGTGTGTGTATGTGCATGTGCATCTGTGTGTGCACAGAAAGAGATAAAGCAAATGTGGCAAAAAGTTACAATCAGTGTATCTGGGTGAAGGCTATACTAAAGCTCTTTGCCCCATTCTTACAGCTCTCCTGTAAGTTTGAAATAATTGGAAAAATAAAAACTCTGAGTTGTGAAAACTTCAGCCAGAAACATAACCCAGAGCAGGGAAGTCAGCCCGCACAGCCCCACAGGAGGAGGTGGCAGGAGCCGCATTTGAGTCTGGCTTTCTGAACCACTGGACGAGGATCACGAGTTTCTGGGCTTGGAAGAGGCACCGGAGCTGGGCAGGGCACTGAGAGCTCCTTTGGTTCTAAGACTTGTCCAACTGGGAAGCCTGACGGAGCGATGCTGGGCCAACCCTACTGAGCTGGTCATGGGGACAAGGGCAGGCACTGGGCCTATCTGTCCTTGAGGAGTCCCCAGCACCCAGCCCAGGTTGAACACACATGAGTACTCAGCTCATGGTTTTGGGGAACAGCTTCCCACTGCAACCCCAGCCTCTCCCCCGAGTCTTCCGGCTGCATCATCTGACACATGAAGGTACCTCAAGGCCTCCAGGGAAGCCAGCGGAAACTTCCCAAAGTTAAATTCCAGTGTTTCTGAGATATTAAAATTTTAAAAAAGTCTCTGAGTGATTTCCGAATATTATTTGGGGAAGAGCTCTGGATATGTGTTTTTTTTCCCCAACACCACGATTCTCCGTTTCTCAGGAGGGCGGCAGGCCAAGTCACGTCCGCTAGGTGTTTGCTTTTTTTTTTTTCTGTGAACAATTGAACAATCAAGCTTTATTTTTACAAAAATGAAAACTGTAGCATGTCTCAACAGCCAGATTGAGTCAGGGCTGGCTCAGAACTCACTCAGAACTGCTGGGTTCCCTTTGCCCTTTCTTGGTTTCAAGGCAAAACCAGGCCACGGTGCCCCAGGAATGAACCCCTGGCCCCGAGAGGTTAATCAAGGGTGAGGTCTGGCTGGTGCCAGCCAGCTACTGGCAGCCTCATCCTTCTTTCCAGGAAGGGGCAGAAAGGAACCATCTGGGAAGGTGGGAGCATCTCACCTCACTCCGTAGGCTATCGTGGCTCTAACAAGGGATGTAGGATGGGCCTCTCCAGGCCAGATCCTTGCTCTGGCCAAACAGGGTCGCAAAGCCTGGGTTCAGCCTCATTCCTCTAAAGCAGCAGGTCCTGCCTCTCCAACAGGTTCCTGGGAGGGACTACATCTCTGGTAAGCCCCAAAGCCCCAGGAGTCAGAAGCCTCTAGTGTAAGGTGCCTGAGCACTGGGGTCACAGGCCCAGGAGGACAGTGGGGCAGTGGGGAGGAGCTATCACTGTACCCTCCAGGCAAGAGAGGTCCCTGACTCGCTGGTCTCCTTGGCCCACAGGCAGGGGTGGCCCCGACAGTCATGGGTTTTGAAAATCCAGGACGTGGAGGTCATAAGACAGTGCAGCATAGAGATGCTTGGTGGTGAGACGCAGGCAGTACACAGGGCTGCTGAAGGGGGTTGATGTCAGCGGGAAGGTGTGCAGGCAGCCGCAGGCCCTTTGGCACCGGTCTCACAGCTGTACAACACTGTAGTAGGAGGAACCTGTGGCCAGCAAGTGGTTGCCATCTGTCTGCAGACAGTACAGGGTGCTGCTGTGGGGCTCCTCCCACTCCATGACACCTTTCCGGACACTGGTACAGAGGTCCCAGTAGCGAACGTAGGTGTCATAGCCACAGGACAAGAGTGTGAAAGGGGACTCATACATGACATCCAGCACCCCAGCCCCTGGGAGAAAGTCACTGCCCAAGTATGTCATCAGTTGCCCACTGTTGAGGTCCCAGACTCTCAGGGGTGAGAAGTGCCCGCAACAAGCCGTCCCTGTCACAAAAGAGCTGAGTAATGGGCTGATAGCAATGGACCAGACTCAGTCTTCAATCTGGATGGTGTGTAAACACTGCTCCAGCCAGCCTGAGGCCAAAGGCCACACCTCGGCCATCCTGTCCCTGGAGCCACTCACAGTGATGCCCCCTTTGCAATCCACACAGTTCACCTCCTGTCCATGAGCCGAGTACTTGACAGTGAAGGTGCTGTGAATCTTACCAACGCCAATCTTCCCATCTCCTCCTGCACTGACAATATGCAAGCTGGCCAGCACAAAGTGGCAAATGTCCTCATCATGCCCAGCAAAGACTCCCAGAACAGGTCGCAGCCGGTGAAGGGCCGTAGCCAGCGGCACACCTGGGCCAGGCAGCCGAGGGCCCGCATGTCCAGGTGAGAGCAGGTGAGCAGCAGCAGCACCTCCGGCAGGCGCCAGAGCGTAGACCCTGCAGCCGGGCAGGCGGCAGACTCCCGAGCTGCCGCCGCCTCCTCCTCCCTGGCTGCCACGACCATGGCCACCCCTGTCCCGGAGATGTAGGCCCAAGCCTGACCCCCTCGTCCTTGTGCTCTTCTCAGCCTGGCGCCCTCCCAATGCCTAGCCCTGACTCTCCATTCCTCCTTCTTCCCATACTCTTCCATGTGCCTCCTTCCCGGCCCCTGAGCTCCCCTCATCTCTTTTGATGATGTCTCTTGCCCCTTCCTCCATGCTTCCGCCTCCCTGTTTCCTCTCTTGGGCATGCCCTCGCTCCTGCCTCAACCCCCAGCCCCACTGTCTTCTTCGCCGTCTGCGGCCCGGGCTTCCCTTCCGCCCCGCTTCCTCTTCCTCCTTGCCCCTCTCGCTCGCTTTTCCCTTCCTCTTCCCCTTCCTTCACTTCCCCCTCACCACTCTCCCTTTCTGCAGCTTCCTTGCCTCTACGCCCCCCGCCCTCGCCCAGGCCACCGTTGGTGGGGGCGGGGGGGTTCCTGACGCGGAGCCCAGCCTGAGCCACCACCCTCCACTAGGTTTAAAACTGCTGACACACACAGGGAGAAATTGGGGCGGGGGGGCCTTCAAAGATGGAGGGGGCAGCATATATCAAAATACAGCCTCCTGCTCTCTGGCCATGGCGGGAAGAGCCCCAGGAAGCAAGAACTGGAACAAAGTAAGTGCCTTGTGTGTTCCTCAAGCCTTAGCTCTGGCTTGGAGTTTGGGGGTTCTGCAGCACAGGGTGGCAGAGGGAGGGGTCCCCCTACAGGAAAGCCACACCTCAGAGCAGAAAACTCAGTCCCCAGCATCAGCCAAGGGGAGGCCCAAGGCCAGAGCTGGGTATCTCAGCAGTCCAGAAGTGCTGGGGGCAGGGCTTGTAAGGAATCACATGCTCTTCACGCTTAGAGGGGGCCTGGCCTCCGGCCACACCTGCCCCTAGAGGACTTGTTTCCCAGTGGAGGAAGCCTGCTTCAGGGAAAGTGTGTGCACACAGGGTGTGGCGGCGCGCACCTGTAGTCCCAGCCATGCTGAAGGCTGAGGCCGGAGGATGGCTTCAGTCAGGAGTTCTGGGCTGCAGTGCACTACATACTAAGTTTGGCATCGATATGGTGACCTCCCAGGAATCGGGAACCACCAGTTTGCCTAAGGAGTGAAACAACCAAGATTGGAAACGAAGGAGGTCAAAACTCCCATGCTGATGAGCAGTGGAATCATGCCTGTGAAGAGCCACTGCACTCCAGCCTGGACAACGCAGGGAGTCCCCAGCTCTTTCTAAAAATACCTATCTAAATAAATACAAATTAAAAAACAAACCAAAGAACAAACAAACAAAAAAGGCTGGGCATGGTGGCTCACGCCTGTAATCTCAGTACTTTGGGAGGCCAAGTCGGGTGGATCATTTGAGGCTGGGAGTTCGAGACCAGACTGGCCAACATAGCAAAAACCTGTCTCTACTAAAAACACAAAACATTAGCTGGATGTGGTGGTACATGCCTGTAGTCCCAGAACCGGCCCTGGGTCACTCACCAGCTTCTGGAAGAGGTCGCCCACCCGCTGCTGGTGGCTCCACTGCTGCACGCGGGGAAAGAGCCCATCATAGAACTCCTTGTGGATCTCATAGAGCTCAGGCACTTTGAAGAAGATGGTCTCAATCTGCTGACTCGTCAGTACCGGCTGAGAGGTGGTGGCAGCAGCTTTCAAAGGCTTCATGGGCTGAAACAGGACACAGGTGAGGTAGCACAGGTGAGAGGGGCTGCCATCTGTCGGGTGCATTGTATGACAGTAGACAGTCATGGTTACCTGACATATGCACTTTTATTTTTAAATTACATAACAAATACAATTTTAAAACCAGCTTGGTTTGGCAACTCAGTCTTCCACTGGTATCCACTCCAGGGATGGCAAGCTGCACCCAGGCTCTGACAGCTGACCTAGGACTTAAGGGCAAAGAGGCTCCCCAACCCTGTCATCCTCCCCCTTCCTGCCCTGCTCAGCTCCCTAAACCCTCCTCACCAGCAGCAGTGCCTCCAGGTGGCTCAGGTAAGTCTCCTCACTAGCCAGGATTCCAGACAGGACCCATTTTCTCATCTCCAGGCCCTTTTCCAAGTCCAGCTCACTCTGCAGGAGAAACAGACAGAAGTCAGCCTGGAAGGGCGGTAGGGGGATGCTTGCATCAGGGCCCTCTGAGAGAGGAGGGCCAGCTTGTTGACCTCTGGACAAACCCCTGCCCCCATGAAGGCTCCACATGGAATTAGAGAGGCAGGGGACCCTCCACACATACTAAGCCACATGCTCGTGGTCGCTGAGAATCCCAGGGGTTCATCTGGCAACGCCCAGGGCCACCCTTAGTCTTGCCAGACCGCGAAACAGAGTTTGGTGTGGAGCAGGCCGGGCCAGGCCTCGCTCCACACCTTCTGCCTGCAACCCAAGAGCAGCTGCCTCACACAGTCGAGGAAGGAGGAGGCGGCTCTGAGCCGAGGGGGCGTCGGAACCCACAGCATGGCCACCTGGCTCCTGCTGCAGCCAAGCTCCACTCCCCACTGCTCACCTGGGGCCCTCCT